TACACTTGAGCAATCTATTACTTGAGCAAGTTTCTCTTCTGGTCTTTAAATCATTGCTATCAAGCTTTTGAGATGCAATACCAGTCCTTTATGTGCAACAAAATTGTACCCTTTGTTGCATTTGAACTGTTGAAGAGCCATCACAATGCAAGTGTCGTGCCATCGACCTCCTCATTTGCTATGCATTTTGCTTGTTTGTATCATATCTAACCGAACTCTCTCATCAAGACACGCGGCATCAGACAATGGCCCATGAGGCTTAGACTAGTTGCTAAAGCCCACAAACTTCCATCGGCTAAGTTAACCTTTGGTAACCTTGCTGCCAAAGTGGATTGCCAAAGACGCCTCACAAGCTATCCCATACATGGACACGTGGTAGCCTCTCAAGCAATGTCCACAATTCCACATCGAAATACAACTCGAGGTGCTCCCCCCCAAGGATCTATAAATAGGGCTCTTGCCCCAAGACACTAGGTAATAGTAACTTGGCACAAGTACCTTTACTCTGTCCAATTACTTATCTCCTTTCTCCTTCGGCTTACTTAAGTATTGGAGGGCCCTATGTTTCTTATCATGTGACTCATCATGTGATGAGAAAGATAGAGAGAAAGGTGCTTCATCCCTGTGTATCTATGTGTCTCTCTCTTTCTTCTCCAATATTTGTCCTCGCCCTACTATCTTCTTTTCTTTAGTTTTCTGTTTCGCTACTAATAACTTTCTTGAAGCAAACAAAATGGTTGGGAACAAGTTGTGGTTGAGGGTAATGAACGAGCAAAGCATGAAGTAGCATATTCCAATCCAAACCCATGATTTAGAGACCATGTTTGGTGACTAGTATTGGATTGGATTGAAAAAAGTCAACAAATCTAAGGTATAGTGAAGGAGGAAATGAAGGTGGGGGTGAATGACTTTCTATGTTATGGGGATTAGGAGAGATTAGTTATAAGGTTGTTATCCTACCATTTTGGCAAGATTAGATGGGATAAATTTTCTTCTTGAGTAATTCATATTCTACCTTCAACTTGGTTAAAAAAAAAAAAATCATTCTTCCTTAAACATGCTTTAAAGATGGGGAGTATCCAATCCAATCCAATACTAGTCACCAAACATGGTCTCTAAATCATGGGTTTGGATTGGAATATGCTACTTCATGCTTTGCTCGTTCATTACCCTCAACCACAACTTGTTCCCAACCATTTTGTTTGCTTCAAGAAAGTTATTAGTAGCGAAACAGAAAACTAAAGAAAAGAAGATACTAGGGCGAGGACAAATATTGGAGAAGAAAGAGAGAGACACATAGATGCACAGGGATGAAGCACCTTTCTCTCTATCTTTCTCATCACATGATGAGTCACATGATAAGAAACATAGAACGATGTATGAAACATGAGACATGCAAATTTTTGTTGGGACAAAGAAGGTGAAGGGAGAAGAAAAAGTGAAACGGAAAAAGAAGAAGAGAGAATTAATAAATAAATAAAATTAATGAGAGAGGAAAGAAGATAAAAATCTTAATTAAAATGCTTTTAGAACTTTGGTCTGAATACATAAACATTTAAATAAATAAAACTTAATTTGAGAAGTCTAGTACATCTCAATGCTTGAAAGTTATAAATTTCATAGACCAGAAGTTGTGTAATAACTTGTGCACTCTTGCTTTTGTTTTATGTTCTCTCCTTCCCTTTTCTTGCAGGATGGCGCATTCTCTCCCGATTTTTGACGTTATTTTTGTCTAACTTTTTTTAGTGAAGCGTGTGACTCTAATGATTTTAGCCTAACTTTATAATAGTAGAGATATCGTATATCATATGAATTAATTCGGAAATAGGAATTATGAATTGTTGGTGTGATCGGTCCTTACTAAGAATGATTGTATTACAACCATTTGAAAGTGAAAGAGCCAACTGTAGGAATCTCACTTCAACCAGCTGCTGTTGTATTTGTGTGGTTGTATTCCGCATAAAACTATTGTTTAGTAAAAAAAGATAAGAGCGAAGAGCTGTTGCCTACGCATATATCATGATTAGGGATCAAATATTGTCTTTTTATTTTCTGTTTTTAACACATTAT